CACGAGAGAATAAAATGAAACAATAATGATGATGATAATGATGAGTGATTAAATGACACCATAGAAATTTATATTGAGAAGTATAGTTTAGCTTAAGGCATTGTAAAGGTGTAGTGGACACAGTTAAGGGAGAGAGTCAACCAGTTAGTCTCTCTACTCACTTGAATGGCTCTTGGATTTCAGACTCAGTAACAATTTTCCGGACAGTTAAGAGCACTGATGATCCATTGGGAGGAAGAACGATGATTTTCAGGTCGAGGAGTCCTTCTGATTGGCCCATTATCTTGGTCTGGGCAGTAACGGTGTCGTGGGTGGTGTGGATGTGAATGGGTGGGAAGTGGATTTTAGGTAGGTGGATTGTTGGTCGGATGTAGGTGGGTAGGTGGGTATGGATGAAATGGGTGGGTGGGTGGGGTGGGGGGTATTTAGGTAGGTTCCTGGTTGATGGAGGGAATTATGGGTAGTTTAAATGGTTAACGAGGTGAAGGGGGGAGGGTTAGTGAAGATGGTTGAGGGAGGTGATCAATAAGTCACAGATGGCCATGTTGACGTGGTGATGGGCCATATATTACAATTAGGCCTTAATGGAAAACAGATATTATGATGATCGTCTGGTAGGAAGGATAAGCAATCGTCGCCATCTGTGTGTTTGTTTGTTCTGTTTTCTCCCGCGCTGTACAGGAGAACTATGATGGCTAGGTGATTTTTTCCTTCTTCCTACATCTTCCCCCTTCGTCGTCCCTCCTCCCCTCATCCCCTTCCCTCCCCTCCCCCTCAGATTTGCCAAGATCAAACCTCCTTGTATGAAGGTCACACACACACGCACGCACGCACACACACACACACACACACACACACACACACACACACACATACACACACACACACACACACACACACACACACACACCATCGCTCACTCCTGCCCCCCCGTAGTCGCTTCTGTGTTCGGGCGATTAACCTCCCAGGGGCTGTGTGGGCCATTCTCGTTTTATGTCTGTGAAATTCTTGTATTATTCGTGTTCTGAACTCTGTGTTATACTGTAAAAAAATGCTGTACTATATTAAGCATTGTTATATTGTAAATCACTCCTGTAAATTATTATTAGTTGTTATATTAAGCATTGTTATATTGTAAATCACTCCTGTAAATTATTATTAGTGTTATATTAAGCATTGTTATATTGTAAATCATTCTTCTATCAACATTGTTTACGGTAGACAATGTTATATTAAAACCTGTGGTACATGTGTAAACAATATAGATAGTTTCACTGAATATAGAACATCTGTAAACAACCTGTGTATTACCTGTATATATACAAGATAATTATTATACAGGTATACAATGATGATACACCTGTGGTACAAATAATCGTCGGTGTGGTACAAACAGGGTACAATGTGTGTTAGTATAATGAGCATTACTAATCTTAACAAAGTCATTTATAAACATAATACAACTTTAAACACTTGTAATTAACACCTGTAATTAACACCTGTACTTATCAAAACATTTAACAATCATAGAGAATTATACATAGATAAACCCTACATAAAATACATTTTCCTTCCATGATAAAAGTATACATATATTTTTTATTGATGTGATGTGTTTTTGACGAGATAAAAATTTAGAAAAGTATTATTAGATTTTCCTGGGTTTTTTTATAACTTTTTTTATGTAATTTTATATGTTGCTGTATTTCTGTAGTGTTGCTGTAATAGTGAAGATATAATGTAAATTGTATTTGGTATTTATATATTGAATATTATGGTTGTATGTGGGGGGATATAGAGGTTTAACGAAGGTAGGAGAGGTTTAACGAAGAGGGTAGGAGAGGTTTAACGAAGAGGGTAGGGGAGGTTTAACGAAGGGAGGGTAGGAGAGGTTTAACGAAGGAGGGTAGAGGAGGTTTAACGAAGGGAGGGTAGGAGAGGTTTAACGAAGGGAGGGTAGGGGAGGTTTAACGAAGAGGGTAGGAGAGGTTTAACGAAGAGGTAGGGAGAGGCTTAACGAAGAAGGTAGGGGAGGTTTAACGAAGAGAGGGTAGAGGAGGTTTAACGAAGAGGGTAGGAGAGGTTTAACGAAGGGAGGGTAGGAGAGGTTTAACGAAGGGAGGGTAGGAGAGGTTTAACGAAGAAGGTAGGAGAGGTTTAACGAAGAGGGTAGGAGAGGTTTAACGAAGAGTGACAGTAGAGTTGACAGGTGAAAACAGACAGAGTTTGAGTTCCAACCGTATCTTTGTACCCCCTCCTTCCTTCTCCCTCCTTCTCCCTCCTTCTTCCTATTCTTCATTCCTTCTTCATCTTATCCTTATTCCCTTTCCCCCTACACGTACTCCTTCCCCCCTTCCTTCTCTCCCTTTCTTTCACCCTTCACCCTTTCTTCCTCCTTCCTGTCCTCCCTTCCGCTTTCACCTCCTCTTCCCTTACTCCCCTTTTCTCCCCCTTCTTCTCCTTCCCCCTCTTCCCCCCTCTCCCCCCTCTTCATATAGTTAGTTTGGCCATCATAGGAAACTTTCCGCTCTGCTTACCATATAGTTAAGAAATATTGAACTGGGAGAGATGAGGTGGGGGGAGGGGGGGGAGGGGGGGTGGGGAGGTGGGGGGTGAGGAGGTGATGACTTTAGAGGGAAGGAGGAGGGAGGAAGGAATGAGGGAAGGAGAGGGTAGCAAGGTGACAGGGAAGGAAGGGAGAGGATGTGCAAGGGAGGAGGGAAAGGGAGACAAGATGGGAGGGGGGAAAGGGAGACAAGGTGAGAGGTAGAGAGAGAGAGAGAGAGAGAGAGAGAGAGAGAGGAGGAGGTCAAAGGTCAGAGTATGTCAGAGGCATTCACCCTGAATGATAAATGATTATAATATAGATTCCTCTAGAGTGACTAGCGATCATGCATATTCCCACTTCATTCCCACTTCATTCCCACTCATACTGACTTCATTCTCATTTCAGTCCCACTCATTCTCACTTCATTCTCACTCATTTTCACACATTCCTACTCATTCTCACTCGTACTCATTCCCATTCATTCTCACTCATTCCCACTGCATTCCCACTGCATTCCCACTCATTCTCACTTCATTCTCACTTCATTCCCACTCATTGTCATTCATTCCCACTTCATTCTCACGCATTCCCATTCATTCCCACTCATTCTCAATTCATTCTCATTCATTCCCACTCATTCTCACTTTATTCTCACTTCATTCCCACTCGTTCTCACTTATACTAACTCATTCCCACTTATTCCCATTCATACCCATTCCCACTTATTTCCCAATCATTCTCACTTCATTCCCAATTCATTCCCACTCATTCCCACTTTATTCCCAATCATTCCCACTTCATTCCCATTCATCTTCTCTAACCTGAGTGAGAGAAGGTGACAAAGGCTATTAATTAGTGTCAGTTAAAGGTGAGAGAAGGATAATGAAGGAGAGAAGGATAATGAAGAGAAGGATAATGAAGAGAAGGATAATGAAGAAGGATAATGGAAGAGAGAAGGATAATGAAGGAGAGAAGGATAATGAAGAGAAGGATAATGAAGGAGAGGAGGATAATGAAGAAGGACAATGAAGGAGAGAAGAATAATGAAGAAGGATAATGATGGAGAGAAGGATAATGAAGGCGAGAAGGATAATGAAGGAGAGGAGGATAATGAAGGCGAGACGGATAATGATGGAGAGAAAGATAATGAAAGCGAGAAGGATAATGAAGGAGAGAAAGATAATGAAGGAGAGGAGGATAATGAAGGAGAGGAGGATAATGAAGGAGAGAATGGAAGTTGGAATTAGCAAAAGCGGATGATGATGATGATGATGATGATGATAATGATGATGATGATGATGATGATGATGATGATGATGATGATGAAGGAGAAAGGAATGAATTAGGAATGATAAAAATAAGAATGATTAATGGTGGATAAACGTAAGAATGAGGAAGGAAATAAACAAAGGAAGATGAAGAATGAGATAATGAAGATAGGATGATGGGATAATAGAAGAAGAGTAGAAAATCGAAGGAAGGAGAAAGAGGGAATAGAAGAATAAGGGATGAAAGATAGATGGGGGAAGAGGAAGAGATGGGAGGAAGGATTTGAGGGTGAAGGATAAGAAGACAGGGAATGAATAGGGGAATAGGAAAACACGATTGAAGGATCAGAAGAAGAGGGAGAGAAGGTGAAGGATGGAAGCCAAAGGAGAGGTTAGGTGAGGGATTTAGAAGAGGTATGGAAGAAGAGAAGAGGAGGCAGGGATAATGAATAAGAGAAGGAGGAGGGAGGGATAAGAAGAGTTGACGAAGGACAGGAATAGGAAGAAGGAAGGGAATGAAGAATAGGAGAAATAAAAGATAAATGATAAGGAAAGGAGGAGGAGGAACAGGACATGAAGGAGGAGACGGAGAGGAGAAAGAATGGATGAAGAATGAGAGGAGGAAGGAATGAACAAAGAACAGGAAGCGAATAGAAGGAAGGGATGAAATAAGAGGAGGAGAAGGAGAAGAAAGAGGGAATGAATGAGGAATGAATGAGGAATGAAGGAGGAGGGGGAAGAGAAAGGGAAGATAGTATAAGAGAAGGAGAAATGAGGAGGGAAGGGAACGAGGATGAAGGCATGGTGGAGAAAGAGGAGGAGGAGGAATAAGTGATAAAGGAAGGGAGAGAAGAAAAAAAAGAAAATGGAAAATGGATAGGAGAGAAAGAGGATGATAATAATGGCAATAGGAGGGAAGAGGGGGAGAGGAAGGGAGGCATAAAGAGGATAGGATAAGAAGAGATGGGTAGGAGTGTAAGGGGGGTGGCGAAGGTGGAAGAGGAGGGAGATAAAAACATGAATAGGATAGGAGGAGGAAGAGGGGGAGGAGGAGGAAGAGAGAGGAGGAGGAGGAGGGGGAGGAGGAAGAAAGAGGAGTAGGAGCGTGAGGAGGAGGAGGAGGGGGAGGAGGAGGAAGAGAGAGGAGGAGGAGGGGGAGGACACTAACAGTATTTGTGTTACAGATGACGCCGCAGCATCTTCCCGGGAGGATGACACCGTCAGGACCCGTGCCTGGGACCGCGCCAACGCACGTGACCGCGATCCCAATGCCACTCGCACCCCCGACCGCAACTGACCGCACGCGACCGCTACCCCGTCCCAACTCCCATACCCTAAACCCGAACCACAATCGAGCACACAAATGCCACCCTCAACTCTAACCGCAACCCCAACATTATCCGCCGCCGCAACCACGACCGCATCTCCAACACCACTTATCCCCATCCCCGATCACAACTAACCGCCCCAGATCGTTAAGGATCTCACCTGCCCGCAGCCCAAAATGGCTTCCTTACCCTCTGCCCAGACCGCAGTTGACCGCAGCACTAAAAATCATCCTCACCCTCCTCTTCCCCAAAACACTAGAGGCTGCCCACTTCCCCAACACGAGGCACTAAAAGACCCCACAAGCTAGTGACTCGGCCCTCTCCCCTCCCTCCCTGCGGTAGTGATGATACCCTCTTCTCTACTAAGTACCTCAGTGTTAGCTTGTACTCCCTCCCCCAGCTGGCTGACTCTAGACTAGTCCCCCTCAGCACGAGAGACCGGACGAGTCACCAAACGATAAAACAAATGTGTTTTCTACGCATGTTTGGTGTTGTTGTTGGTCTGCTGAACAATGCTAACCATCGCCTCCCTGCGCCTCTTCCTCATTGGCCGCTTCCAACCCCCGCTTCCCCCGTCCCCACACACAATGTTAATAATAATGTGTGCAAAAGTTTGCCCGAAACTAATTTAAGGAACCTGGCGTTGTTTACTGTAACTTAAGTGACTTCCTCTCCAGGGAGATTCTTTCAGGTGGGTGACGCGTTGGCCTTACCAGACCACCTGACTTATATACGATCAGTTCACCTAGATAAAAGTTGGTTAACTTCAATAACAAAACATCATGATTTTTTTTCATATCAAAGATGACTCATTTCTGACAGGGAAACTAATTAGTTAATTGATTTTGAAATAATGTAATTTTTATACAAAATCAGTGATTCATTTTTTATAACGAAACTCACTAATATTTTTGCATAACGAATGAATCCGATTAATGTTTCATGACAAATCTGATTCATCTTTGATAACGATGTTGATATATTTCATTAAAAAAAACACATTCAATTAAGAGCTAATTAATTCTCAATAGCATTAACTGATGACTAGTTTACTATGAGTTAATCTGAGCCCTTGGTACAGTGGTGAGGGCCTCCGAGTTGCTACCGTGAAAGAACATCTCCTGCTTCACGTCTCCCTCTAGCCTCTGTGATGTATACCGAATGGTCTTTCATGCCGAGTACTTTTTTATCTCTATCGCCTGTGTAGTATTAAGGAAAGGTTGACCCTTCCTGCTTTTATATCTACCGAGAAAAACAAAATCAACTTGGGTGTTTATAGAAAGGATTTTTTTTGTGTGTATATGTGAAAGTCCTTTGAGCGAGTGCATGATGCTTTAGCTAATAATAATAATAATGATGATGATGATGATGATGATGATGATGATGATGCAAGTTTACGGAATGTTTATGTGTGTAAAGGGAGATGAAATACCGGAATGGCGGTTGTCTCCCTGAAATTCTCATGGGCCTTTTCCTACCTCTCTCAATGATAATCTCCCTTACTCGAGTCTCCACTGTATCCTCCCTTACTCGAGTGTCCACGTTATCCTCCCTTAATCGAGTCTTCATGACAACCTCCCTTCCTCGTCTCCATGACAACCTCCCTTACTCGAGTCTCCATGTACCTCCCTTCTCTCCACGTTATCCTCCCTTAATCGAGTCTTCATGACAACCTCCCTTCCTCGTCTCCATGACAACCTTCCTCTCCATATCGCTCGTTCATAACAGAGGTTTGGTGATCCTATACCCTCGCTAGGTCCCAAATTTTAACCATTAAGAAACGAATGAAGGAAACTTGTGACAAATTGCCTTCTATGTGTAATGTAAAACTGTATATTGTAATAACCATTCGTGTCAACACTTGTTTATCTCTCTCTCTCTCTCTCTCTCTCTCTCTCTCTCTCTCTCTCTCTCTCTTCATCATCTTCCGTGTCTTCTCCTTTCTCTTGGTAAACATTATTAACAAGACTTTCGTTGTATTTCTTACTGATGAAAACTTAGCATCCCTACACCCAGGATTCTGTTGTTTGTTATTAATAAGATGTAACACACCTTCCCAAGCATCATTTTTTTTGTTTATATTTCTACATAATTGTAATGTAGAATAATTATCTCCTTAGTGTTATCATGTCCTGGTGGAGGGTGAGATCTACCTGTCACCAGCACCGTCTCTGTTGTTTCTCAATGTTGTGATATGTGTTTATTATCATCTCCCTATCAGTGATTTTTCTAATGTGTCAAAAGTTCATTAGTGTTTAAATACTTCCATGTGGTGTACATGGCCTGTTATATACATATATATATATATACATACATGGCCTTGTTATGTATACATGCATAGTTCTATACATAGCCAAATCTTAACAATGGGCAGCTGTGTACGTACATGGCCTTTCCTATATATGGCTACTAATAATGTATATGGCCTTTTATGTATGGTTATATATGGCCTGTTCTTAAGGCCATATTCTGTACATGGCCTGTTTCATACATGGTCGAGGAAGGAGAGTTATAAACGCATCAGTAGTCGAGCTACCCAACATGCTTTCAGTAAATCTGTGAGAGAAAAATGACATCACTGTATATCTCTCCTTCAGTGCATGGGGCCTAACGTGACCCCTATATCCTGGGAAGCAATTGTTTACTGTTTATAATCACGTGATGGCTTACAAGATCAAAAAAATAAATAAACAATATACAAAAATGCATAATGGTTTATATAAAGTAGCTGTGCCTTTGAAAAAAAAAACATACATTGATGATATTTGTATAAAACATAATATTGAAATTACTATGCTCATTATTTTTTACGCAATGTGAATAGAATTTCTTAGGGGCCATTTGATAGCACAAGACAACTATTTACTTTTTTATATAATAATAATGTTGATGTTGGTAAGAACGTAATCACCATGACTTAGTTAATTGGCCTCTTAGGGGAGATGGTTTAGCTATGGAATAATTTTCTTTATTGACAATTTATGAGGCCATTAGAGCAGTGGCCTGTGTGTGGTTTAGGTGGGGTTGTAGGTCAAGGGAATGTATTGGTCAACAGCTGAACCATTCCGGTTCTTGTGTTGCATTAATGTATTGGAACGATGACCTGCACCACTCGGGGACCTGCTGGACCTGGTGCTGTGGACCTGTACTGGTAACACCATAGATTATGTGTACTGTGATGAGGGTATAGAGTTGGTAACACTATAGAGAGGTTAACAGTATGGTGGTGTAGTGGTTGGTAACACAATACCTTTATACTTACTGATGGTGTTGTATTAGTAAAAACCATACAGGTTGTTACAGTGTGTATGGTGACCTTATACGGGTGTTGCTATACAACTACACTGTACTGATCCTGTATCGGTAACACCATATATTCCTGGTAACACTTAAGTTGTTACCATTATGTATGTTGGTAACACTGCAGTTCTCTGAGGTATTCATCGTGTACTTTAATAACATCATAAATATGTACTGTGAGTAGACACCATCATGAAACATACATACATACATACATACATACATACATACATACATACATACATACATACATACATACATTATAAACAAGAGTGGATTTCAGACTCAGATTAAGGTTCCCCAAGGTGAGAATCTCGCCCCTTTTCCCCCACCACATATACATACATAGAACTAACTCATTATTCTATTTTGTGTTTAATTGTTGTAACCAGGTAGACTAATAAAGCATTTAACATAGAGATCTTTGATTTACTCCTCTCGACGAGCTCTATATCAAGCCTCAAGATAACGAAGAGGAGAGTGAGTCGTCAATCTTCGTCCTAATCTTGAAGGTAATTCCGAGCATTATATTTTTGCTTGTTAATGTTGCATGTTTTTACTTGTTATTACCAAGTCTTATTACCCATCATTTGTAGTTATTTATTTATGTTTATTATTATTATTTACCTGTTTATACAAAAAAAAAATGAAATGCATGTATTGAACTGATTTTTTTTTTCAGTATATGATGAACAATTCAACAATTTTAACCGTGTATATTCGTTCACACAGTTGAGTACTATTGTAGATGATAATGGTCCTTAACCTTGTTCACGGTGCCAATACAATGACCATTACTAACTACCGATGCTCCCAGTCTTGTTTATGTCATCAGCGATATTCACGAGGGTTCAGCTATATCCCACCCCCTCCCCCACCCCCTTTGGTCTCCCCCCCTACTAAACGCTATATTCTCGTTTGTGTCGCATACTCTTGATATATCGGTGGTATATCACAGGGAAGAAGATATAACCTCCCAACTGATAATCGTATTGGATATCAATATACTTGTAAAATAGTGAAGATGTTATGATATTAGTTAGAGGAATTTATGTTGAGTAATATTTTCTGTTTGTTCCTATGTGATTCTTGTTTAGGTAGTTTACTGTTGAAATATAGAATACAAATTTTACAGTGAAGGTGATACAGTATTTTTTTTTTGTATTTGGCTGTATTCTATATATTTTTGTTGCCGTAGATAACATAATAATGAAATGCAATTCCTGTGATTCTGGTCTGTCTTATGGTATTTTATTTATCAGTTTATTTAAGTGGATTATTTGTATTGTTATCGTCCGTCTGTAAATTTAACGAATTATTAACGAATTATTAACCATCGACGCAATTTTGGTGAAACTCTGTATAAATATTCCTTAAGTGATGTTGCTGCCGAATTATGCCTTGATTTCAGTATTATTTTCTCTTAGGTGTTAAAAGGTTATGGCGTTCTTGTTTATTTATTAGTTTTACGTCGAATAATTCATTGTTTAGTTGGTTTGTAGTGTAGATTTGCTCGTTATCTAATGGTTGTGGTTGTGGTGGTGATGGTGTTAGGTGGCTGGCGACATCTGGTGGTGGTGGGGGTGTGTAATAAAATATTTGCCAGGGATTATATATATAGTTCAAGGATGTGGTCAGTGTCATCTCCCTGGGTTTGTTGTTTACGTGGTGTTAGGATCCTCTTGTAGTACTAAAGATATGGAAAATGAAAACAGAAATACATCTCTTATCCAAAACGAAAAAAATAAAATATTTGTGAAAGTTTATCGATGAAATTTATTTAGTTTACATACACAGAAACTCGATAGATATGTGTTTAGAGGAGCATTGATATCCTGTATACACCATACTAACCTCTCTGATGGAATGTAACCTTCCTGAGGTGATATACAGACACACCTTTATATATTAAGAGTGGCCGTTGTGTCTATTTAATATATGATGACTAGTTTAGGTCCATAGATTGTTACTGGGCAGCCTTCACAAACTGTTAAGTATCAATGTAACTGAGACACAAAATTCCCAGACCGGTAATAATTCCTACTACCAAGCGGGGTATAAGAAAAGAAAAAAAAAGTCAAACTCGAATAAAATCTAGAAATGGAATCTAAAGTAGGGAAGAGAGGGACAATACGTGTCGGGGGGAGTGGGGGGGGAGGGGAGGAGTAAGGCGTGAAGACAGGGTAAAAGTAGGTTAGAAATGCTCTATCTCTATCATCCACGCCCATCATCCCGCCCCGCCCACGCCCACAGCCTCGCCTCTTCAAATACTTATTGCTATTGTTGTTAAAGTGGATAGATGGGCTGAGGTGACCTTGGAGTTTGGTCGTTCGATAAATATATATGGGAAACAAATGCAGGAGGATCTATGGATATTGATAATAATATAACAGTGTCATAGTGTTAATGTTAATAACTATAATGCCATTAATAATATAAAAAGGTAATTTATAATAATAGTTAAATAAAAAACAATAGTGAAAAACGATAATAAATATATAATTATAACTAAAGTAAGATTTTAATAATTACATCGTGTTAGTATCAGTATTTATTCTAACAGGACAGTAATATATAGATAATTATTCCCGTATTAATAATAGTTATGTAAATCTAATGATCATGTTTCGACTTAATTATTAACTTCAAATTACTTAACGATTATAATATCAGTAAGTAGGTGTAGATAGAGAGTATTTATGTGATAATGCTAGGTTAGGTTAGGTTAGGTTAGGTTCTGTAAATTACGTCATACTGTCAGATGGTTGAAGTGGAGGGGTGGAGGGTCGGAGGGGTGGAGGGGCGGAGGGTGGAGGGTCAGAGGGGCGGTGGGTCGGAGGGGCGGAGGGTCGGGTGTGTGTGTAGGGCTTCACGCTAACAACATAGGCGTGACCTTCATTGTGTTATATTTGTGTCCTATAACCTATGGAGGACTTCCTCTCTGGCGTCCTTCCTCGAAATGTCACTTTTAAAATTGTCCTTTATATCTTCCTTCATTCCTCCTTCACTCCTCCTTCATTCCTCATTCATA